TACAGGTGTTGTGGGCGAGTGCGATCAACAGTCTGAACAATGCCAGCACACTCAGACCCTCGGTCCCGATGACTTGCGACTTCGTGCGTGCTCTGTCTACACGCAATTTCCTTACGAGGCGTGGGGAGGTTTTCAGGCACTGTCCGAACGAGGCGCACGCTGAGATCGCGCCCCCAAAATGTATTAAACGTTTTCCAGTCGACGTAGACGTTAAATAAGTCTAACAGATTCTCAGCGAGACAAATTCTGTAATGGTAATGTTAATAACTGTTTCTTCATAAGGAAACATAGGTTTCTCAAGTCTAGTAGCTGTTATTGCTTTTTCAGCACTGATGAAGGCCTCCTTATGTTTAAAGTCGTATAGAACAACATCTTGATTACGTTTTACATGTGACAAAACTCCCTTATATGATGAATCTTCCTGATATATATATATATATATATATATATATATATATATATATATATATATATATTAATGCATGTTTTATGAAATAATATAGACAAATTTTGTCTATTTATTTTAAACAAATTCCTTTCATATCGTCTGATAAGCTTAAGAACATTATCATTGAACATGTATCAATATGGTGATTTTTTTCGTCTTTCAATGAATTTGCTTAAAATAAATCGACAAAACTTGTCTATAATATGTAATGAAACATGCATTAATGAAAAATGCTGCCTACATACACGCACACTATATATATATATATATATATATATATATATATATATATATATATATATATATATATATATATATATATATATATATTGCTCTCGTGAGGATGAGCGTTATATGTTTTTGTTTTAAAAAAAAGAAAAGAAATTTTACCGTAATGCAATAGTTTATGTATGTTAAGGTTATTGATATATAATACTATACCTACTTTCTTTAGTCGTATGGACATCATGAGAGCGTGAAACTTGAGTGAAATCAAGCGGCCCTTTGTTAAGCATCGACGTTGTGAGGCTTTGGGTTTTTTTTTTTTTAACCTTTCTGGGTAATATGGGTGTTGAGCCCTTTACTGCGTAGTTAGGTGTTTGCTTTTTTGATATTTCTTTCTTGCTTTTTTTTTTTTTTTCATTGTTCGGGATTTTTTGTGTCTAATGTGTTAGGTCGTCTGGCAAGTTCTGATGGTCGCACCTTCATAGTATTTTTTTGTTGTTTACTTTAGAGCCAGGAACAAGATACCTACGTTTCAGCTTACCCTGAAGATCCGTTTAGGTGAAACCTAGGTTGGTTGTTCCTGGCTCTTTAGGATTTATTCCATTTATCCCTGCTCTGCTTAGCGTATTGAGCACTCTACGGCTTAGCTTTATTACTCGCTTGGTTTTTTTTTTCTTTGGACTAGAAGCTTAAGGCACTGGACGATTTATTTTGCCTGTTTGGATGTTTCTAGTTCTTTCTTTTTTTTCCATTTTTTTTTTTTTTTCCTCAGGGAACTAATTTGGTTTGATAGACTTACAAGTTGTGCTATCCGAGGTTTTTCCCAACCGAGTATTACTGGTAGTTTAATAATATATATATATATATATATATATATATATATATATATATACGTGTGCGCGTGTGTGTGGGTGTTTGTGTGTGTGTGAAAAAATGGACAAACAAATGTGTGAAAATTTTTACAACATATTTTGCTTTAGATCAGTGATGTCTCGTGTCTTTGTTCGATACGCAATATCCTTAGCATAACGCATTAGCAAAAAACCCAATTGAGTGATATCTGATGAACGAGGTGGGCAGAGAATTGGGCCATCTCTTCCAGTCTACTGGTCAGTGAATGTTAGGGGTTCATTTAACAGTACCTGTTGCATCAGCAGGATACTTGAAATACACAAATGCAATGTGATTAAAAACTTTGACAACAACTGAGTACATAGAACAAACCTGATTAAGATATCCCATCAATTGCCTTTGTAATACATTTTTAAATTGTCAAAAGACTTTATGGACACTATATATATATATATATATATATATATATATATATATATATATATATATATATATATATATATCGCTTTTATTCAAATCAAATTTTTTATATATTGACACAATGTCTTTTCATTTTCACTCTTATATCGAGAACGATAAAATAATAAGTTATCAGTTAATAAGCAGTTATCCATTTCCGGTTATGTGCTATGCGTGATACACGCTTAGGCGATCATGTATCTTTCGATACATGACTGACTTAGAAGATTTTTTTCCCGCAGTAGGATGTCATTTCTTTCTGCAATATAGCAGTTGCCATAAAGGCATAGAGAACCCCGCCTGTCCTGCTATTCATCCAGAGATTAAGGGAGCGGATTCATACCTTTTCCAAGGGTATTAACAATTAAGTGAATGTAATGGATTCGATCGATTCCTCAATCCGAGCCGCTATCCATTACTCCACCGTGCCTCTTTCAGCCATATCATTTTTTTTGTTTTTAAATTAAACATCTCATTATTAAACTGAAGAATAGTGCCTAAGAACTCATAGCTATATACAGGAGATTGACGAAAAGATCTTGCGCCAAACCACTTTTTGAAACCTGACCAAACCCTAAAATTCTGAGCGAGGACTTCATGCTTGAGCCTAAAAATTTGCAACATCGAGAACTATCCGTGTACAAATATATGCACATAAAATCTTTCGTGCTCCATTGCTTCAGTAAAGAAAAATGTCTGCCAAGTAGGCTCGAAAGTCTGTATTGTACCAATATTCCAAATTCGAAGGAGTCACTTTCTTTCTTGGGTTGCATACGAATATACGGAATTAAAGTGTTTATTCCGGCTCGATTACCAAACTTGAAGAGAGGTGTGCAATTCAGGCTCCAATCCAGTGTATGCAATATATATATATATATATATATATATATATATATATATATATATATATATATATAGGCAGCAAATTCTGTTCTTAGCATGAATTACAAACTTTATGGCTGCTTATTTTATCATAATATTTTCATATATGTTTTATTTAATAGTAGTATACGGAAATATTTTCCCGTATACTACTATTCGTGAATATGAAAGGATTATAATAAAAATAAGCAGATGTAATGTTTGTAATTTATGTTATATATATATATATATATATATATATATATATATATATATATATAAATAAATATATATATATATGATTAATGCGTTTAAATTTTGTCACTTAGCTGGTTGATGTTACCTTCAGCATCCTGACTCCAGAGTTTCGTAGACTAACCTGTTCGTCCGCTCCGTTGTGGGGGGTATCAGCAATAAATACATATATATATATATATATATATATATATATATATATATATATATATATATATATATATGTATATATATATATATATATATATATGTATGTATGTATGTGTGTGTAAGAATCGATTTGAAGAGTTGAAACAGAATCTTCGATTCTAACGAAATATAACCATGGTCTTTGAATCGTTCGTTTTCATATATATATATATATATATATATATATATATATGTATGTTTCTCTGTGTGTGTGAGTTTGTGTGTGTGTGTGCATATTGAGGAAGTGGCTTCTGATACTGCCAAGGAAAGGAGTATGTGCATAAAAGACAGTAGAACTTTTGTGAAGACACGAATTGAATAGTTACGTCTTATCATGCTGATTCCTAAATATGACGCCAACATAACGACTACTTTCCCTTTCCCTCTTTGTGGGATGTTATCTGCGTCTCAATCTGATCTCGTTTAAGGCACAGACACATGTAGGGTGTCAAGGGGGAAACATGCTGTTTAACGCTCATACGTCTTAAACGACTGGACAGTCCATCTCATATTTATATATATGTTGTATTTTGGCAACAAGATTTCTTTCAAACATATATGGTTTGAATAATAGCGACAATATTTGCCATAAAAGATTTTTTAGAAACTTTTTCAAATTTCCGAATTTTTTCCGAATTTCCGATTTTTTTTTTTTGTTTTTTTTTCATGTAATCGGTAAATTTGCCTAAGTTCATATTTATATTTATTTTACATTATTTTTTCCGTGTACTTTCGAATGTTTGTCCATTCAGTTTCATGGATTTTTTTGTGTTTATGTTTACACACTTTTCTTTACTTCCAGGGTTCTTACACTTTCTGGAAACAATTTCAAGTCACTTAAGATGATGTCATTTACACTGTAATTTTTTATTTTATTTTATTTTATATAAATACCTATTTCAAAATACAGTCCTCTATAGAGAAAGTTACCTTATATAATGCTAACTGCTTTTCTTTTATTACAACAGCCTTCCAAATTTTGAGTCCTACTTTGCACCGTTTCCTATATAAAATGTTGATTTTATCTACTAAAATTTGAATTATATAACCAGCTATTATTTTTCTGTTTCTGGGGTAAAGATTTTTTTTTACATTTAATTTTGTTATCATGTAAGTTTTAATATGTTTTAAACGAAAGTTTCTTCATAAGTAAAACAATATAGGAATTGTGCGAAATTAGACATTATCATTAGTAGTATTAGTTTGATTGAATTTTTACGGCTTGTCAACCCTTCGCAGGTTATTTAAAACCAAAAAATATTTTTAGATTATAAGTTTTTTTGGGTTTTTTTTAAGATAATAATGTTTTATTAATACAAATGTTACTATATAACCCATAAATGGTTGGAGAAAAGTTGGATTCATACCTTTCCCAAGGTTATTTTGCGCGTAAGTAAATAAACCAAACCCGACTGGAATCGGAGTCGCCGATTTCAAATCCCGTGCCGTTATTCATGATGCCACCGGCTGCACCCAGGTCTGCAGCACCTCTTATTCGCAAGCGGTCACCCATCCAAGTACTGAGTAGGCTCGACGTTGCTTAACTTCAGTGATCGTACAAGAACCGATGTTTCAACGTGATATGGCCGTGATCCGTCATTAGTGAAAACGGAAAGTTACTAATTTGGAGCTATTGAAAATTACAAGCCACGCCCCTCCCCCATTAGGTTGTTAAAACTAGGTCAAATGCGTGATTAGATACCATCTAGTGATGCACCCACGGATTCTCTCTCTCTCTCTACCTCTCTCTCTACCTCTCGCACTCTCTACCTCTCTCTCTACCTCTCTCTCTACCTCTCTCTCTCTCTATCTATCTATCTGTGTCTTCTCGGTCTGATTCTTAAAACTTTTATTTAATCTATCTACAAATAAGTACAGTGAAATTTGAAATACAAAGATGTAAGTCAATTGTCATAGAAGTCATTTAAATAATAATAAGAGGCCTAATTAGTCATTTTAGTAGAGATCTGCTTAGTTGTTGTAATTGTTTATGACCTATAGCTGCCAAATAAGTCACAGGGGAATCAAAGAAAGTGGAGAAAAGGTAGAAGCCTGCCTCTCCCAGTGCTCAGTGTTATTTATAATCATAACTTATAGATTACTCATTTATTTATATACTTATTAGTTTATATATTTTGAATATTTATTAGTTTTTTTTTTTTTATTTTAGTTCTGCGTCTTAGGATTTTAATAATCTTTGAGATTTAGTTTCTGAGAAATGATTTACTTATTTTTGGTCATGTTGTAGGTAACGTAGTAGGGATTTGCTTTTGTGTTTGCATTTGGAAAAAATGTTTAAGAGAATTTATGCCGAAATACATCTATATATATATATATATATATATATATATATATATATATATATATATATATATATATATATGTGTATTTTGACTGCGACAATTCTTTCAAAAATGTCTTGTTAAATAATACTGACAGCAGGTTGTTTTATGTTTGAGTTAAAATTGATAAAAATTCCAAAATTCATTTTTTCAAACCGTTTACTTTCTGACGCTGTTATCAAGAATTGCATTTAGTTTATGTTTGAAAATATGTTTGGCAAATACTATAGCTCCCTAAATTACTGAAACTACTTTCCGGTATCTTAAACGGTCAAACTGAACTTTTACGTGATTTTGTATGGCTTGATACACAGTGTTTATTAAGTACATATTAATTAATACAATATGATGAAAAATATCATTTACTCATCAAATGTAGTTTTTTTTTTTCTAATTTCTTGTCAATGCGGTTAATTTACTTGGGAATATTACATTATTCGCTGAATATTATACAATTAAATCTTTACAATAAAATTCAACTGATACGTTCAGGTTGGTAAATGTTTTTCAGGGTGAGAACGTTTCAGTACACCCTCGTATTTACGTGTCAGACTGTCGGCCAAGTCATCTAGTTTCTTGTATATATCATATATGCAAATACCTTTTCTCACATCTGAAAAATGATCGAAACGTCATTTTTTTTTAATCGTCTTCTTTGTTGGACAGAGAAATTTTTCAGCTACCCCAGATATATAGAAGCAGTAATACTTGTATACATAAATATCTATATATTTTAATTATATACATTTCTTTAAATTTGCTATATTGATGGAGAAGTGCTTGATATCAAAGAATGAGCGATTTCTTTAGATATAGAGAGTGCCGATATATGAAACAATACTGCATAGCGACGGCCTGTTTTACGCGTGGATTCGATCTTCAGACCATCTTGACACCTTTAATGAGCTTTACATATAGGTCACAGTCGAATCAAAGGGAGTGGAGAAAAGGTGGAAGCCTGCCTCTCCCAGTGCTCAGTCTTATTTATAGTCATAAATTATAGATTACTCAATTATTTATATATTTATTATTTTTTAGTTTATATATTTTATATATTTATTTATTTATTTGTTAGATTTTTATTTTAGTTCTCCATTTTAGAATTGTAATAAAATTTGAAATTTAGCTTCGAGACATGATTTACATATTTTGGGGCATGTTGTAGGTAACGTAGTAAGGATTTGCTTTTGTGTTTGCATCTGGAAAAGTGATAATCGATAATTTCATGACTTAGGATTTATTTTGATGTCGTCAGTATTCTATCTTTATTAATACATTCAAAATATTAAAACTGCCGTATTATATATATATATATATATATATATATATATATATATATATATAACCAATGAATGGTAGGGATAATTCCAAGGTGGGTATTAATCCAGAGAGAGCTCAATGTAAACTACAGAGCATTATTATAATAAATCAAGATGTAAACCTTAAAGATCCATTCGGTTATAATTTATTTCGTGAATAAATTCATGAAATAAATTATAACGGTAATATATATATATATATATATATATATATATATATATATATATATATATATATATATATGATGTGTTTTCATTTGGAAAAAGGGATTATATCAAGCCTTATGAGTTATTTTTGTGTCGTCAGTATTCTATCTTTTTTATACATTTTAACTCTTAAATATGTCTTCTTTTATAGATATATTAAACCTCATATATATATATATATATATATATATATATATATATATATATATATATATATATATAATACAAAACAAACGTATTATGGCATATAGATAGGTACGTTATAATTTATAACGCGCTGTGTTACGGCGTGGACTCGGGATCCAGTATTCTCCAAACCACAAGAATTTTGCTTCCAGCCAGATATATTTAACAGAACCTTGTTTAAAAACGAAAACACTGGCAATATCTAACATCTGAACGCACAAATGCAACCTCACATCGTCTTAACAGCCGCTTATTTTTCCATTGCCTTCTAGCATCCTCAGTGGATTAACCTTCCCAATGAAACAATACATACTTCTAATCCAGTTCTAGCTGTGAACAAGTGGGTAACAAGTTACCCCCATACAACACCGATATTAATGTAACAAGCTCGATCTGCACTGGGTGCCCCTATTATTTAAAACATTGTAAAAAATCTAAACTTCGTAAACAAAAAAAAATCTATCTGTGCTTTTCGCTTCCTGAAAGAATACACACCGTCGAGCATGGAACCGTAAGATCAACCTGCTAGGTGATCGTACCATATTTTTAATAGGAAGCTACCTTTTGAGGGTTCGTCTTGCTAGCACAGAGTTCAACTGTTGTCAATTTCCTTGAAAGGCTACCACCCAAGTGTAGAGATGTCGAAAGTTCTCGAACACAAATATCATGGAATTTGAAGAGTTTCCAATTAAATTTGATACGAATGTGCAAATATTTCAACACAAACTGAAAAAAAAATGTAATTACCAAATGAAACTAACGTTGTCGATCGATTTCAATAAAACATATTTAATATGCATGGATTTAGAGATCTCTATCGCTAAATTGGTCTGGCACAGTCGAAATTACTTATCAGAATTTAAATATGGCATAACGATAATTGGAAACGCGTCGTCGAATAGCGCAGTGTTCATCGTTCTCCCTTTCTCAACGAAACAGACGTGTCCTTGGATTTTAGAGGAAGGTCATGACGCAAAATCATTTCACGTACTACTGTTGTAGATTACAGAGTGTCTACAGATAAATGTATTGCGTTTGTTGAATTTGAAACCAGTTTATGTGCTTCTATCATCGGTTAATAATGAATGGTCGCTTACAATTTCGAAACAAAAAGAAACGTAACGAGAAAAGAAGGCTTGGAAAAATTGTCACACCCGGGACATATCGAAGGCAAAAGGGACATAGGTAAGCAAAGAATAACCAACCTAACGATCTCTTGTAAATGGATGGCAGTACATGGAGCCGGAGGGATATTTTAAAAAATGATTGCCAAGAACTAGAAATGATAGGAAGTTGTGGAGAGTCAAATTCGCTAACATCCGTAAGGGACTCACACTGCGTAAGTGTTTTTAGTAAATATTTATATATAACTGTAGTGCGCCACTTATTAAGCTATTAATGTTCACCGTTAAATTTGGCAGTAATTACAAAAATTAAACGCATAAGCTTATTTTGCCGGTCTGTGTAAAATAGACACCAAGGCTATTTTGCCGGTCCCGGTAAAATAGACACCAATGCTATTTTGCTGGTTCCGGTAAAATAGACACCAAGGCTATTTTGCCGATTCAGTAAAATAGACACCAGGGCTATTTTGCTGGTAGATATAGGGCGTTAGAACTAAGAATGTATTATATATTCATCAATTCATCGTGGAAAGGATTTTAAATTGTCTTAAGAATTGATGATAAAAATAAATAAAATTCCGTGTTAAATCTGTGTGCTGTTATTTTTAACATTACCTGCATTCATAACAATAAAAAGAAATAACCGCAAAATGACGTAGGCGTCTATTTTACCGAAACGGGTTAAATAAGCTTAAAAACACGTTTGTCTATTTCCCCGGTACCGGCAAAATAGCCTTTTCCAAAATAAAAATATTGTATTAATTACTTGTTTCTAAAGGAATTGTATTTATTGTAGGTTTATAAAAGATCGCCTATTAATTATAGGTTTCAAATTATAAGCCAGTTATATCCAGTCTCAAAAATAGGACCGCTGTTATTATGGTTTAATCTCTGTCAGAGACAACTTTTTTCTGATCATTGATGATTTATTGTGTGAAAAAAATATTTTGTTTTATATGAAATCGGAAAACTTTTTATATTATGATTCTTACGTTATGTTAACCGATAATTACTGCAGTTCTATCTTGTTTTCAACATAAGAAATCAATATCGGAAATCAGTTTTATCGATTTTATTTTATTTTTTAAATAATGAGTTCAATCCGTGTAAATGAAATCAATTAAAATTCAGTAGCACCTTCAAATATTTTCTACAAAAAGAAATTCTTTATATTCTGTTTTTTTTTTTTTTTTTCTTTTTTTATTGCTCGGGAAATCTAAGTAAACTATACTCTATAAAAAATAACCAGAACCATTTCAGTTTTGCTACTGGGATTTTTTTTTTTTTTTTTTGATAAATCATAATTCTTAAGTTCATGATAAACTAAGCCAATTGTGAGTCTGGCGTCTATAAAATTACCCGTTGAAAATTCCCCGATTGCTTCGTTAAATATCTGAACTTGACAAAAAGTATTGGAATATAAGTATGACTGCAGGTCATTATTTAAAGAAGTATGCGAGTACAAATGAAAAGATTCAACAGAGACGAGGTTTTCCATTTCAGTGAAGCAGACTTTAAGCACATGAGAGTATTATCGCCACCTCTATTTATCTTTTTTCTGGCTGAAACCAATAAGCATCTCTGATATGATTTTTCCTTCTATCCTCTCGATGAAAACGGGATAGTCCATTATTTATGAGGTACTGACGCGCT